CCCCAAAACCCCAAAACCCCAAAACCCCAAAACCCCACTATTCAAAATTTGAGAAATTCTCAAATTGAATTTTAATTTTTATAAAAAGTTATTATATTTATCATTAATAGTCTCTTAATAAGTTTATTTACCTATTAGTTGTCTAATTCTTATCAGAATAAGTCCATATTTTACTAACTTTTACAAGGAGGATCATTTCATTTCCTTATCTAGCTTTTTAACTTTCATTTCTAAGTTATAGACTTTGATCATTCCATCCTTTGAAGCAGTTGCGATAGATTCATGCAAGTAGCAAATGCAATGTATACTGTCATTATGCTTTGGAGCCATCTGTAAGACGCAATAATCTATATCATTAACATCATCTACAATTCCATCCTTCATTTTTCTTTGTATCTTTGTACTTAAAGGTGGGGGGATTTTCCAGATTCTGATTTCAATATCATCACCCGAAGACATTAGGAAATCTGTGTTTTACATGAATTCTTGTCTTCCAAGTCTCTTGGACTTAGCTACAATCTTAGTTTTTCTTGACATCATTGTGAGTGATCTAATTCTTTCCTCATGACCTTCAAGAAGAATTCTACCTTTGGTTTCTGAATGGACATCAATAATTTCTATCTCTCTTCCAACAGCCACTGCTATTCTGTTATGTGACAACTCTAATAAAGATGTTGGTTGTAATTAAAAAGAGAATTTTCTTAAGTGTTGATACTACCATTCTATAGGAGCTGCATTGTAGCAGCAAAATACTTTCGTTTAAACACCATCAATAACATAGAGATTAACCTCTTTAGCAGATGACATACATGATAAAATGAAGGTCACATCCTCTTATTTATTAGCAGCGAATTCAGTAGTCATTAGCTCTATCAACTTATTATCTCCATAATAAATGTCTATCTCAGAATCAGATTAACTTACTTTTTATCCGATTTCGAGAAAAGGCTTAACTCTTTAATCATCTTTTTACTCATAGTAAAGTTTATCAGCAGAATACATTCTGATATAGTAACGACTGTCCTAAACAAGGAAGAACTTTGACTTGAGCATTTCTAAATCTGTAACAGCCACTACATCTGCTTACTTTTTAACTGCATCTCTTATCAATTTTTTACCTCCTTTTGATCTGTTGTAAATAAGTAGATGCCCATGTTTCATGCCACAAACCAAATATTTACCACGATCATCAGTCAGTGTTAGACTTAAAATAGATTCTATTACTTTGGAGCCGATTGATTTCAGTGAAAATCCCTTCATTTTATTATCTTTTTTATTCCAAACTATGACCTAGCCTGAATCATCACAAGAAATAAACTCATGATGATTAATCTTAATCAAATCTCTAATTGGCCCTACATGACCTTTAAAGGTATTTCCCTCAGAAACATCGAATTCCTCTTCCAACTCTGGCATCATAAAAATTGTATCCTCATCAAATGATTACTCAGGCATGAAATAATTATCTTTCGGTGGTCTTGGAGCTCTTACCAATGGTTGAAACTCTGGGCCTTAGTAGCCTTATACCTGCTACTTATTTTTCTTACCTCCATTTGGAGCACCTGGGATATCAACATCCAGGTCAGGTCTGAATATCTGAAGGAACATCGCATTTAGATAATTTTTTATATCTGATTTTGTATGATCTTTTTAATAATCTATACTGAAAATTTTATTCGACTTCCCTCCGTTATTAAACAAATCCTCTCTGCTCTTATCCATCTTTTTAGCGATCTCATTAAAATCTCTAAACGATTCTATTTAAAATCTAGCATCTTTCTGAAGTACATTATTGTATCTGGTTTTAAACTACTTGAGTTACTCGAAACCTTCTACGAATTTTGCTAGATGTGGAGTAGTTTTACTCCAAGGATCTTCTTTATCATAATGATCTCTTAACATGAGAGCTGCTTCTTTACATTACTCAAAAAAGTTCACATAAGCTTCAAAGAACTTGCCACTTTCAGTTGATTTATAATTCTTATAAAATTAGTCTGACTCAGTTAACCTCTTGTTTAGTAATGGCCCTAATGTCTTTCCAATCTCAGCTATAGGCGTTTTTCTATGATCCATTCCAACATGATCCTTTACGCAATCCTCACAGAGTACTATACCTTTACAATCACACAATACTTCAGCATTATTTGTATCATTTTGACATATCACTTGAATAGGAGTTTGAGGCTTTTCCTCTGTCTCTTCCTTCTTACCAAATCCAAAGAATTTCTTCATTTTAAGTTATTTATTTTTATATCTATTTATAGGATTATCAAAATTCATTATTTTAAACTTAGTTTTATGCAGGTCATGGGGTTTTGGGGTTTTGGGGTTTTGGGGTTTTGGGG